GGTGATGGGTACGGGGACGTCCTTGAAAACACGAGGAAGCAAGTGACATTGAGCAAAGCGATCCGAGATGCATGAAGCACTGGCACCGGAGTCAACAAGGGCAAAGGTTCGAACAGGCTTGCGCCCAGGGAAGGAAAGCAAAATGTTGATGAAGAAATGGTCTGGAGAATTCAAGTAAGTAGAGGAAGCGAAGACAAAGGGAGAGGGGATGTAGTTCTGGGGTATATAACGTCTGTCCGACGCGCGAATGTACGTGGGCGTTGCAGTCAGGAGCGGACATGCCCTGGCGTCAGCGACCGGGAGCCCTAGGGCAGGGGTTGGACTCCTGGTTAGGCTTTTCCCACTTTTGCGAGAGCAGCCTTGCGATCAGTGTCGTGCTTCTTTGCCTTGTCGGACTTGTTGGGGCAGCTGTCGGCGATGTGAGCAGATGTCTGGCCGCAGTAGTCACAGAGGCCGAGACGTTGACAACAGTCCTTTTCTTCTTGCAAAACCAGGCCGCGGAACTTGATGGCATCAACCTCCATGGGAATAACGTTGGTCGACGATGACGCCGGCAGGGTGGTACGTCGGACCTTGCGATAGTGGTACTCGGCGGGGGGAGCAGTGCGGCAAGCGGGTTCGGGGCAATGGCATGCTACTTGCTTGTCCTCGTGGAGTTCATTGTCAAAATTGATGGCAAGCTTCACGTAATCATCGAACATCGCGGGCTTGGGGCGTACTCCACGGACAAGGTCACGAACAGTGGACTTGAGGCCATTCTTGAAAAGGTCGAGGTGCGTGGTGTCAGAGAGGTCGACGAGAGGGAGGAGCTTGCGGAAGCGAGCGGCGTAGCTGGCACAGGAACCGGTCTGAAAGAGGTTCTGCAGGCGGCGAAGAGCTGTGCGGGAGAGATTGGGGTCAGCAAACTGTTCCCGAAAAGCAGCGAGGAACGCAGGGAAGTTGGCAAGCAGCTGAGGCTCATGGGTCTTGATTGTGTAATACCAAGTCTTGGGGTTGCCGTCCTTGAGGTAAGTCGATAGGTAGCCTGTCATGTCGCAATCGCTGACCATCCGCTGGAGGCGGACATTTGTTTCAATCTTGTTGATGAAGGGTTCAACATCGGCGGTTGAGCCATTGAAAACGCGCGGCTCGCGGGCCTTGAGCGCGCGTGGAGCGGAGAGGCCGGCGTGGTGAACGACAGGAGGAGGAGCGGGAGCAGGGGCGTGGCTGGTGAGTGTGCGGAGGCCGAGAATGGCGTTGGCCATGGAGTTCATCGCCTGGTTGGTGTTGTCTTGCTGCTGCTCCCAGCGGCAGCGAGACTCGACCATCTCAGTGTGCATGTCGGAAAGCGCGCCCCAGAGTAGCTGTTCCGTTGTCGACAGCTGCTGCATCGACGAGGGTGGTTGAGCAGGTGCACCGGCGAGATCCGATGATGGTGCTGACAAATTGGTGGTGTCCCAGCCGATGCTGGATGTGTCTGTCAATTCCCAGGACATTTTTAGCTAGGACAAAACAAGGAAACAGTACAAAGTAAAAAGAAGAGCCGAGAATTGAATGGGTGGGAGGAAAACAGGCAAGTCAAAAGAGAAGCGATGACTTAGCTCATTTCGAGGATGGTTGGTTGAATCAAACTGTGACAGTGCTGGCAGGGATCAGAGGGGAGAGCAAGCAGAGCGAGCGAACGAGTAATGAGAGCAACAAATACTGGTGTTGATTTGACCAAGAAGAAAACATAAGTACGATACATGTCTCAACTACTTGTCAAATGCGTGAGAATATAAGTAAGCCACTGTACAGTTAGCACAGGTGCGTCAAAACCCTCGTTGAGGGAAAGCTACCGGCCGTCTACAATTGAGCAATATGACTACGTGGCATTGTGATGGCTCACACTGTTACATGTAGTCAGTGCTTGTATTTTGTGTCTACTGATGAAGTGAAATCTTGATATTGGTAAACCAGCATGTAGTCTACTTGCCTCCACACTGAGCCACTGATGTGCAGCAACACCAGACGTGACGTCAATGTCTGTCTCTATTTGGTGAGTGTTTAAACTCCACTCATTTGGCAAAACGTGCGTGTTTCCCCCTCTTCTTCAGCTACTCCTCACATCTCCCATTGCACTTCTGGAGGTGGGTGCAGGAGCCCCGTTCTGCAAACATAACAAACTCGTCTTCCCTGGGCTCTATGCTATGCAGGTTGCTCTTTGCTACTAGCAGCTGGCCCTGTGGACATGCACTCTGGATAAGGTGTATTATCTACAGGTCGGCCGCAAGCTTAAGGCAAGGTCGCCTGCCAGCTGAACCTGAAGGTATCCGCACATAGCTATGCAGGTATAAATTCCACGCAGTGGATGCAAAATGCCCATGCATATGCACGAACTTAAATATGTGCATATGTACATGCATACATTCAAACATATACATAGGCTTAGTGTTGTTCTTGGCCTGGCCTAAAAGCCAAAGCCAGGCCAAACCAAGCCAGATTTCAGGCCAAGCCAAGCCAGGCCAAAGCCAGTACGGGGCCAAGCATTGTTGGCCTGACTTCACCACCAGGCCAGGCCAAAGCCAAGCCAATAGGCCATGGCTTTGTTAGACACTTATTATAATACTATATACCCGTTACCATATATGGTAACTGGGTTAGAGGGTCTTACTAACGTCCCAGTTCTTCGCGGTGCGATTGAAAAATTGGCTCTAGTCATGTGACTGGTGGCTGCAGCGCTGCCATTTTCTGCATCAATGAGACAACTTATTGTCAGACAAGCGCTTTCATGCAACTTTGGTGATACTGCATTTCCCTTTGTCCCTTCAGTAACAATGTATGACTTGGACCTTATTCAGCAAAGTATCAACTATGATTCTCATTTACCATCATGATGAAGCTTTTGTCAGTAGCATAGAAGTTCCCGCATTGGAGAATCTCTTCCATGCAGTTTGTTATCGGCGAGTTTGCAGTTAGGAATGATTTCGAGGTTTGTAACAGCCAGCTCAGCTATGTGGCCAGTGGTGTGCACCAATCTCGCTATTTATCTTTGGTGGATCACGGCATGTCGTGTCCATCCCCAACATCCATTCCGTTCCATCCTTCAGTATTGCTGGATGGGTATCTAACACCATGGCAATTGTTCAGTGAATTCCATAATTTCTATGATAAATAACCGGAACACCCATGATGGATATTTTCAGGTTTGTGTTGCCTAAACACCATCATATCACCGTGTGATATTCATAGGATATGGATGAAGACTCAATTCCGGATGACATCCTTTCCTTGAAGGCCCAGATGATAATGGTTGTGAACAAGCTGGCACAACTGCTCGTCAGGGGCCCAAAGATAAAGTACATTGGCGCGTCAGATGCTTTCTGAAAATATTTACTACTCTAAAGGTAAATGGTAACAGGCTTTGCTGTGCACTGGAGCATGGCACTATCAACTTTTATCAGTAATTACAGTTGATGTTACTTTTGTAAACCTTGTACACCTATCCTTTATCTAATCTTTGTGTAATCTGCAGACCACGCTTGTTTATGATCATGGGAAATTCAGTGTTGGGAAGGCGTCCTCTAGAGCTAAATAGTTTAAAGCCTAATTTCTCATCAATGGTGATTGACCCTGCACTAGGCTAGTCTTTAATGAGACTACTAATTATCAGTGACTATGCTGTCTCTCAAAACATACCCAACTCTTGACAGAATCTGTTTTTTTTTGGAAGAACTAACCTCTATAAAACTAATGTGTAGTAGTAATAATCCTGAATAGGCCTTATCTTTGATATAGCTATTGTACTACCAGTGCTTAGTAGAAAGCCTGTTATTCAATATACTCCTTAGTGCTTAACAGAAATTATGCCTCATTCATTACTTTCATGTTTATTTGGATTGCTAACAAGAAACTTATGATCTACCAAGGACTATTTCAGTTAAATGTTATTTCTGTCAAGGGTTAGCCCTGTCAAGGATTAGTTCTGTCTATGGTTGGTTTTGTTGAGCTAGTGTTGTTAAGAGTTAGCTTTGTATTATAGGATTAGGTGATTTCTTGAGGATTGATTACCGTGTTTTCCTCATAGTCAGGTGTTTAGGCATAACCAAGTGTTCTCATAAGGACTTAACAAGGCTCATATCAAGCATATTTAAAAGCAGTTGCTCACAAGCATATGGTATTTACCACTATACAATGGTTAACCTGCAATTAAAGCATTTGACTATAATTTGTAAGTAAATTTGTAGTGTAGTTAAAGTACCATACAAAAGCCATGGCTCGAGCCAAGCCAGGCCAAGGCCAAGCCACAAGCCAATGGCTTTGGCTTGGCTCGAGATTTGGTCAGGCCAAAAGCCACTTGAAGCCAAGCCAAAGCCAGTGGCTTTCAGGCCAAGCCAAGCCAAGAACAACACTACATAGGCTAGATAGAATACTGTAAGATAAACATAGACAATATATGTGATACTTCTACCACCTGCTCGACTTGCCTTTGCGCGCCCGTGTCTGGAAGAATATATCAAACAAAACAAAGAGCAACACGCATGTCCTTATCAACTTGATCACAGAATTCTGCACACCATTGCCTGATCATTCTACTAGGTATTAAATTAATTGTGCTATAGATCCATCATCTAATCAGACTCCGACAATGCTGTGATGTGACACAACTTCCAAATCGAACCGGCACCAAACATCCACCATATGAAATAGTGCAATATTTAATGTTTTCTGTTCCGGAACATGAACAATGTCCCCCAGGCCACCTACCCGTTGATCTTGTTGGGGTGGACAGGCAGAATTTAATTTAACAACTTCCCACGCCACCATGAACTTAAGGTCGTAATGGTACAGTAGACTGCTATCAGCGCAGACACTTACATTTGCGTGAACCCAAGTACCTGCAATATGGCCATTGTACTGAAAGTTAACACATGTTTGCTGTGTATAACCTCTCTAGGTTTGTGATGCACTTGTCTCCCCTAACCACATACTCATATCTACATTTCTGCCAGATCATTGTAGAACTCTGAACTATACACACAGACAACAATAAATGATTGTACTACACAACCGACTACCGAATAGACAAGATACCCGACTTGGTAGTACTTGAAGCCGGCCTGTCCTTGTTCTCCGACTTCTTTTTCTTCGTAGAAGCCGTGTCCCATATCTGCCAGAATTTGAGATTCTCATCGCCAGCACCGGTACATGCGAGGTCGCCTGCGGGACTGATCGCCGAGTAGAGCACACGCGAGTCGTGCGCGTCCCGGATCTCGGCGACGCGCTCCATGGACGGGTAAGCGTGGACCATGATCGCGTTGGTCGGGTAGCCGTGCGTCGACAAAAACTCCTTGCGGTGTGGCGACCAGTGGATGCCGGTTACCTGCGCTGGCGTCTTGATAGAGTGGAGACGTGCACCGGTACCGCTATTCCAGATGTGAATCGTCGCATCGTTCGTGCCGCCGCCGCTAGCAAGCAGATTGGTCTGCCACGGACACCATGCAATGGCCTGCGGAAAAGCGTAAGTCAGCGGTGATAGGAGAGCTGAACGTGACCACGCACCTTGACAGCGGCAGTATGATTCCGCTTCGTCCACTTGGCCGTACCCCTAGCACCCTCGCCGACATCCCCGACCCGCCCGTCCCAGATATTGACGACGTTGTCGTTACCACCACTCGCCAGCATCTCGCCGTCAGCCCTCCACCTCAGCCCACACACCTCTCCCGAATGCCCAAGGAGCTCCATGACCTTGTGCCTCGGCACACGGACGTCGTGGTGCCAGATACTGCCATCCCCACAACCCGAAGAAAGAACGTGGTTGTTCCACGAGAGCACCGCGATCTGCCCTTGATGCCCCGCCATCGTCCTCAGCTTCTGCCCCGCCTCAATATCCCACAGTTCCACCTCCCCCGAGCCAAGACCAATACCAAGGTACGCGCCGTCGTTGGAGTAATCGACACTGGATACGTACGTCCCCTCCGGCGCCTCACCGAGCAACGTGACATTGCCCGTATCCGCCCGCCAGATATACGTGCACTCGCCGAGCGCGACCGCAACCGCGTTCTGGGACGACCACGAAGTAAGATTGAGATAAAAATCGTCGACCATGCCGGGCGCATCGAGGACCTTGACCGGCTGTGTGTTGATCCGCCTCGACTTGTTCGTCGTCGTGCCCGTGCTACTCGGAAGCGCGCCTGGCCTCCCATATAACGGACGTGCAAGCTCCCTCTGCTGGCTGAGCGCGGGGTCAGACGACGCCGACGGAGGCGCCTCGTGGTACGCCAGCACGCGGCGCCCTATCGGAACACCCGTCGCAGCCGCGAGCCTGGCCGTGTGCCCGGGACTGGCGTTGTTATTGTTTAGGCTCATCATCTCGAGCGTGTTCGCGACATCTCCCTCGTCCCTGGCGGTGATGAACCTGTCCCCGCCTGCTCCCGACGAATGCGCGCGATCGCGGTCCCTCGGAGCGGGCGTCGAGCGGGAGCGCTTGATCTCCTTCTTGTGCGACGATTGTGGAGGAACGTAGTCGCGGGAGATGACGTCGAGTCTGCTCTCGACGCCGCCCTTGCGGATGATGCCAGAGTGGGCTTGGCTGGACACGCTTGAGCTGGAGCGTTTGGGAGAGGCGGGGCGGGAGCGGGTGATGAAGGGGTTGGAGATGTCTGCTATGCAGTCCCGCTTGCGAGAAGAGAGGGAGACGCCGTTCATAGCGGAGACGAGGGACGGCGTGAGTGGTGTTTTGGCATCTGACCGTGAGCGATATCGTGAGGGTGTCTTTGGAATCGAGCTCATAATGAGATTGTAAGCGTGTTAAAAGATATAAGATGAACAAGATAATCCAGTGGTTAGAGAAAGGAAAGCGGAGAAGAAACTTGAGACGGTGTCGAGGTCAAAATCAGCCAGGCGCGTTTTCAACGTGTGTATCACGTGTACAGTACTTTCTCACGCCTCCGACGTGTAGCCAACACGTGAGTTGTTTTTCATCTCGTCTCTTGGACCGGACCACCACATCCCCATCTACAATTTCCTATCCACGCTCTTTGAAACGATATTACGACACAACTATGGCACTTTCTTTAACCCTTCTCGGCATCGCACTCGGCGTCGACGCAATTCCGTTCTCCGGCGCATTGGCAGCACCGATACCTCGAGACGACAATCACGCAGACGATCCCGACTCAGGTGAAGTGCCCACATCCCACGACGACGACACCCCGCATCTTAAAGCCTCTGAACGCGGTAATCCTGGCAACTATATCTACTCTGGCGGGGATCTCTTTTCTCCATTCTATCGCGCTCCCGACCAGGCCAACAATCTCGCCGCTGGCTCTCCGTCTCTCTCACAGGCGCCCTCACCAGCCCCAATGGCCCAATCCCAACCTTCGGCTACTGCACCTGCGTCTTCGCCACCTACCTCTGAAGCCGACACCTTTGCAAAAGAGAAAGCTTGGGTCATCGGCACCGTCGTCGGCGTCCTCGTCGCCCTTATCATCGGTCTGGGTATAATCAAGGCCCTCTCCGTCCGATCCAAAAGGGAACGAGGCAGTAGTAGCAGCGGCCCTAGGTATCGCCCCTTCCCGTCCTTCCAGGTCTTGCGCTCGAACAGGACAAAACCCAAATCGAACATCGCGATCGTGGTCAGTCCCCCGTCCTACAACACCTCTACCTTGCTGGTCTCGGACGGCTACATCTACGGCTCCGACACGGAAAAGTCCAAGATGCACGAAGCGTACTCGGACTTTGAAGAGATCAACCTGCTGGACGACTCTCGCGCCGATACCTCGACTTCTGCGAGCAGCTCTTGCCAGTCGCCAGCTACACCCGCCTCTGGTGACATCGGTCTTGGCATCCACTCTGGCTCCTGCTCTGATGTCGACGCTGACTCCTCCCCGACGCCCCTGGAGGACCTCTCCTTCATTGCCCGATCCAAGAAGCGCGCCTCCATCAAAAGCATCGCCACGATCCGATCCAAGAAACGTGCCTCCGTCATCAAGAGCATCGAATCAGACACCCAGCTCAAGCCCTCCACAAGCTCTATTTACTCCGTCGACGGCACGCTCTCTGACATCAGCTCCGGCCACGGCCCCGACGGCATGGTCGACCAGCGTCAAGCCCGCGAGGCGCTCCTGAACGCTCTGATGACGCCCGCCGCGGCCCCGGTCCAACACGGCCGCACGAAGAGCGAGCCCGCGCGCGAAAAGGTCTCTCGGCTCAGCGCGTCGCCATCTGCGGAGGTCAACGTGGATGTCCCCGTCACCTACAACAAGTCGCGGTTCGCCAAAGCCCGCAGCTTGGGCGCCGCGTTGTAACATTTGTCTGCATACGTTGTAACACAATGCACCCCTTTCGTCTTGGATGGTGAATTTTCTATTTTTGTGGTTTGCTGGGGAGTGTAGCTTAGACGTCGCATCGTAGCACACACCTACCTGTATCGTATCGCATATTCCAATCCACTCTTGGGCGTCTTTCGTCAACATCTCCTCGTTCGACTTTTCGTAAGAGTCGGGTGACCGTCTGTCTAGTACGTGTTCCCTATGTCGATATTAACACGCGAATATTATAGGGGCAAATTTTCTTTGGGCCCGTGTCGCGCGTCGAAGCAAGTGAACATGATTTAATAATTTGTTGCCTTGTAAAGTTTGAAACATCGCCCCATTAGAGATAATCGTAATCGTAAGTAGGGTAGCTACACTAGAAAAGGCAACCTTCAGTTGTATCAATCAGATCCTGCCAGCTGAGGACGACGCAGATCTGGGAGTGCAAGACGGCAAAAGAAAACTTAACGCGTACTTCTAAGGCATGCTGCTAAGAGCTCCCCAGTCTGGTACAGTGCTCCTCATATTCTTCCGTGGCCTGCTCCTGTCCGCGAAGTTCGCGCTCGTGGTTGGTTGGTTCTTCGACTGCTGTGCGATTGTTTCAGTTGAACTGACAATAGTCAATGAAACAACGCCATTCACCTTCCATCGACCCGCGGAGCAGGATCTATTTCCAATTTAAGTTTCTTCCTCGCTGGAGCGCCTCCGTCGCAAGTCTCAACTTCTGCAATTAGGCGCTTGCTCTTCAAACTCTTCTGCTGCTTGCTAGATGCCTCGTCGTTCTGTGAATCCTCTTCGTCACTTTCGTCAGAGACACCCATCCCATCTCCTACAATGCTGTCGTCCGATCCGTCTTCATCCTTTTCTCCGGACTTAACCGTCTCAATTGTGAACAAGTTGCGCCGCCAATACTCATATACTAATTGCCCGTTCCAGCATGACCCGACGTTGGAGCTGATTCGCTCCGCGCGGTATTCCAAGATGAGACTCATGTTCAACCAGTTCACCTCGCGGCCGGTGCACCAAAGAAACCGCTGGGTATCTTTCGTTGGCTTTGGCATATCTGGATAAAGAAACAGCTGCTGGCGAGCCACCCCGACGCTCATCATCGAAGGATCGTCCGAGGAGTCGAGGGAATATGTCCACTCGACCCACCCCCGCTCCAAGTGCGCGAATAGCCGGTGACCAGAGATATCAAGGTAGACGTCGCCGAGATGGCCCAATGTGCGACTCGGCGCGCCAAGTCCTCTGTACTCGTGGAAAGGTACACACAAGCTGATGCCTCGAAGTTCCATTTGAAACCGGGGATTAAAATTTTTCTTCTATGTCTCCTTGGGGCTGAAGTGGATATATCGAACATCACATTGCAACCGCCCTTCACAAATCTCGGGAAGATCCAACGGAGGATCTGAGCATGGATGTCTGGGTTTGTCGCCCATGCGCCTGACTACACGGCCGTGCGAGGTCGAAATGGCTAACATCTGGATTGGGGCGAAATCGGAGCGAAATCGGACTTGGTTCGTGACCATGTCTGGTAACAAAGCGGTCCGGGATATAGGAGCCCCATTAGTCCAATATACCGTTACTCGTGAATGCTCGCCATATGATTCAGAATACCCAGCGATATGATGCGGATGTCCGTCCGAAATGGGTTCGACAATATGGTGTCAAGTCCCATCCTCCAATAAGTATAGTTTCTGTTCGGATGATATGCACACTACATCATGAAAAGGATATGCTATTGAGATACGAGCTACAATGTAGTCCATATACTAAGATGGATTATGCACGCGAGATGAGACTTCACTGATGATGTACATACCAAGCTAACTATATGTGTTGTATGTCTGCAGGACCATCAGCTACGTATATAGTCTTACCAATATATAGAACAATTAGAC